AAAAAAACGAGCCACCCATACAGACGAAAGCTGCGAATGTTTAGCGATTCGGCTCTCGAAGGGCTTGCCTTCCTCTCAGGATGCTCGTGGAACATGAAGGTTGCCACCAGCGATACCTCGAACGCGATGCACCCTCAAGAGGGTGTGCCCCCCCCTAAAATGGTCTTTCCGAAATGTCTCGAAATAGGGGAGCCCCTAAAATTGTGTTTCATAGGTGACCCCGAAGATGGGGCATGTCCTTTTGCTCCCCAAAAATGGTGGTTCTTTTTGGTCCCCCGTTTTTTAGCCAACCAAAAAGGTCGAGTCAACACACGCCATGAGGGGCGTGATCTGATGGGCGAGTGCTCGAAGGAAGGGCTTGCTCCTGGACGGGAGCTGAGGTCTCTGCCCCGTCGGTTTGGATTGGGTAACTTTGTGGTTAAGGGGCGGTTTCCCATTTGCCCAGGTCTCAATTCCCCAAACCGCCAGTCCAATCCGCCTAGGGGTTACCTGATTTGGTGGTCTCAAAGCTGCGCCAGAAGAAAACAGTGTCCCAGATTTTAGGTTCAAGCTCAGTGAGATGGGCGCAGCTTTTTGAAGATACACTTTTAGGATTCACAGGGAAACCACAAGTAAAGAGGTGCCCCTCAAAACAACACTGTTGTCCACAATGAAGGGTGTCACCTAAGTCCTCAAAACAACACTGTTGTCCACAATGAAGGGTGTCACCTAAGTGGTGTCCCAGCTTTTCTTGACAACCACCCCAACAAAAGGCACCCTCAAGAACAAACAGCGCAATGAAGCAACGCAAGTCAAGGGGAAAACCATTCCTTACCTCAAGGGCTACCCCCCCTTTTGGGTGGCTTTCCATTGAAGAAAAAACTAAGACGGCACCCCACACAAAAAAAAAAAAAAAAACGGGAAGCTTCCCTTCCGTGTCCCTTAACAACCCACAATTTGGCTCCTTCTTCAGCTCCGCTTCATCGTCCACCTGCGTGATCGCCAGCACCGACAGCGCCTGACGCTTGGGCGCTTGGCGCTTGGCCCAGTCGTCGCTCGCGCTGGGTTTCGGACAGAAAAACGTCTCACCCAACCCAAGTGGTCGTTGCAAGAAACAGAAACCCAACCCTAAACATCACCTGTTTTTGACAGACCTTGCGAAAACAGGTAAAAAAAAAAATCGGAGGGGGGTGAGGCTTCTTTCTCTCCCCCCCTGGTTCGGCCTGCTCCTGAAGCGCCATGCAGTTGCGGCTGTACTTTTAGTCCAAATGCTCATCAAAATGCTTATAGGATTGACCCCAAATCCCCATGCAGCCTACTCAAAGTGTTCTCGGGAATTGGTTTTGGGCGCTCGAATTGGGTCTTTTGAAAGGGGCTATACACCTTGCCCTTGTCGAAATGGGCAAATAGGTGTCCATGATTTGTGCATCCCTTCAAACTCAAACCCGAAAGCAGGGTGACCTTCATCAGCCCCAAGCGAAGCATGCTGAGCCCCCGGCATCGGGCGAAAACCAAATGTAGTCCAGCGTGCCCTGGAAGTCCTGCGTGAGGCGTGTGACCGCCACAAGCCTAAACTGACCCAAAAAAAATGCAAACGAATCCGGGGCTTCCGATGGATCTACGTCAAAACATCACCCCGAAAAAGAAGGAAAAAAAACGGCCGCCCGAAGAAGGGATGAACAAAGCCTGGAATGAACAACAACCTCTTCTCTGTGTCATGGTCATGGCTCCCTTGATAGGATTTGTTCCATTGGTTGAAGGCCCCTGGTCAAGAGGTTCATCACCATCCCGGACTATCTTGGTTGACATTGGAAGGGAAGCAAAACAAATTGAACTTTGGAAGTTAAGTGGTTGGATTTCAACCACTAAACCACAATAAGCAAAAATATAACATGTGGTAGACTTCTAGTAAACCACTTAACAATAAAATCTAACTTTCTAGTAAACCACTAGAATGTTTCCCAACAACAACCATGCTATCCCCACGATACTATTCCCGGCGCCTCGGTGTAGTTGGTGAAGGACGCCTCGCGGCCTCGAATTGGATGAGAATCGTCTCACTTTGCATCGTGTCCTAACAATCCCCCTCTCACAATGAGGGTGTGCCATTTTTTTTGGAGCTGGTACCGCATTCCGTTGTATTTTCTTTCTTTCTTTGGTTTGGGGGGGGGGGGGGGCTGTTTGGAGCTGGTACCGATTTGTTGTTTCTTTTCTTTCTTTCTCTGGTTTGGGGGGGGGGGAGTGCTGAAGGGACAACCACCAAGGAAGACCCACCCATTTGAGGGGCACTCCACTTGCATTCTTGGCTTTCTGGAAAGATGTGTCTCTGGGAAGCATGGGCCATCTCCAGCTTATAGAAAGCGCCACCTGAGCATGTCAATCCCAATCCCGCGAAGTCGTCCACAAAACCTCCACCTGAGCATGCAGTAACCTGGCTCAGGACTCCTTTTCATGAGCAAAACCCATCACCTCGAAGGTTTCACAAAAACATGGGACTACGGGGTCGATTCAACAGCGGCCTAGGGGATCTTTCTTAGACTCACCGAGCAATTGCAGTGGGGAAAACAAACATGGTTCGCTAATAATGGTTGTCTTAAACTGGCTTCAAAGGGGTATGATGGTTAAGGGACAAAGGGCGGACATCAAAATTCGGTGGGTCCCGATTCATGTCCACGGGTCCAACTCTTAAAGATCATATGCATGTTGGTCTCTCAACAACACAGGGGGGGTGTTTCCTTGTTTCCCTTTAACATTCCCCCCCCAAAAAATAGTAGTAGCAGCAGTAGCCACTTTCTCTAGGACGGGAACCAAAGGGAGCCCCTCCCCCTTAGATTTCCCCGGGTCCGGGCCGTTGCAAATGGCGTAGGCGGTGGCCAGGCAGAGCTGGTGTTGAAGCTGCCGGCTGAACCTGACCAAAACGGGCAGGTCGCCCATGGCTGGGAGTCCGTCGAGGAGAAAAAAAAAGAAAAAAAACGGCAGGGCGGTGGAAGAAGACAATTGTTAGCTGGAGGGTCGATGATGCGCGCCAACCATTGTGTGCGCCTCTTTTTGAGTGCCCTTTTTAGGGTGTTCTTAAATGCAGAAACCAAGAGACACCACCCTCGTCCTAGGGGGGTGCGCCCAATTTGGGACAAGTCTCAGGGGAATGACCTTCCAAGCATAGATAGTACCTTGGAAATGGTTGCTTGAGTATGAGGGCATGAAGGTGTGAGGGTCAGGGATGAGGGAGGGTGAGGGTGTGAGGGTATGAGGGTGTGAGGGTATGAGGGTATAAGGGTATTAGGGTATAGGGTATAAGGGAGTGAAGTTATCATGGTATGAGGGTATGAGGGTGTAAGGGTATGAGAGTATGAGGGTGTGAGGGTACGAGGGTATGAGGGTATGAGAGTATGAAGCTGTGAGAGGGTGTGAGGGTGTGAGGGTGTGAGGGTGTCAGGGTATGAGGGTATGAAGGTATATTGAGGGTGTGAGGGTACGAGGGTACGAGGGTATGAGGGAAACATCATCCCAGGGGCATGAAAGGGTAATGGCACAGCTGCAAAGAATTCCCAGCCTTCTCAGCAGCCCGGACGGATCATGCTGCAGGTCCTGCGCAAAAAGCTCCAGGCAACAAAATTGGGGCCCCTGTTGGTACCCCTTTTGAAAGGCGGCGGCACAAGGCGGTCACCAGCCCCAACTGGATGTGTCTCAAACAACTATCCCTCAAAGTAGTTGGTTTCCTTTTGGCCCCCTTCACCCCCAAAAGCGTACCTGGAAACACTCCAAACTCTGTGGCATCTTCTCCACCACTCCGCGCGGGTGTGTCTGTGTCACCCAACAAAAACAGCGCCATTTTAGGTGGCACCGCCCCTTAGAGTCCACCATTTGCGAGCTCGGCCTTGTGGTCTTCTCTTATGGAGCCACAGTTCAGGTACTCATACACCTCAGTCGTGAGATTCAATCCATGCGCTGCATGATGTTCAACCATGGACAAAACAAACACAAAACCAAACAGAAGGAATGAAAGAAGCAGAGAGTCCCATATTTCTTGCGGCCTTTGGGTTTTGGCAGCACGAACAGTTCTCAGTGCTGGGGCTCATGCAGCAGAATCTGGAGTTGAATTGAAGTCGCCAGCAAGCAGCAAAGGCCTGGCATCCCGTTTGGCCTTCGAAATTCGGCCGAGTCAGTGATTTTAAGTCCAGCTTTGTAGAGAACTCAAACAAAAAAGACAGCCCAAATTTGTAGGGTTCATCCCATCCATCTGGTAATTAGGATATATCTTGGAGTTGCTTTGAAGGGAACCAGGGCCCTTATACGGAGTGCCCCAAAAGAGACACCCCCATACAAATGAACATGCAAATTGCACAAGGCGCCTGGATTCTGCAGGAATCCCCAAATCCATCGCCACACGGCTCATGAGCTGGGAAGGAATCCTAAGCACCTTTCGCCTTGCTCTGGGTACCGGGTTCCACGGTTCCACCCCGCGAGCATGATGGGCTGAAAAGGCGCAAGGGTGTGCAGATTGCTTGGCTGACATAAGGGACTGTGAATGATCATTGTGTTTCCACATGGCAATTTGTACCCCCCACTCCTGATAGTAATTACGGGGGGGTGGGGGGGGGGTGGGGGGGGCGACCGTGTGAGCTGTCACCCGTGACAGAAACATGGCCCCCACGTCCGCTGGTCCACTGTTGTTGCAAGGGAGATTTAAACGAAATATTGGGTTGGTCGATTTCCCCACAGGCCAAAACCCGGCTTCAGTCCTCGTGGGAAGCACCAGAATGCGACTTATACCCCATATGAGTTGGCTTCCCAACAAACAAACCGCTGGGTTTAAGTCATTGAACAAATCACCGGAAGGTGCCTCTCTCACGTAACGGGGAAGCCAACAAACTTGGAACCCAAAAGCCACACTCCCGGTTCCTTAAAGTGTCCCAAAACCCACCTGCTAAATACACCGTGCTCCTCTACATCAGGTGGTATTTGTGTGATTGCCTTGTCTAACTGTCCCATGGTTTCTCAAAATCGTGGACCGAAAATGTGGTGGTTTTGAAACAAAGCCAAAAGGAAACCACCTATTTTGGGGGGCTTCTCGAAAACAAAGCCAAAAGGAAACCACCTATTTTGGGTCCTACTTCGAAATGCCCACCTTTTTTTTTTCTCCCTCCCGGCCATCTATTCCTTCAAGTCGGGCCACCCCGCCGCCTGGCCACCCCGTTTCAACCGCGTTTTGCGCACCAGTGGTCCCACTGCAGGTGCTTCAGGCACTGGATCAGAAGGTGCGACTGAGCCGGAGCCGAGAAACGGCCCTCAAACCGGGTCCCATGGATACCAGGAAACCAGGGATCCGGAGACATTTTTGCACCTGAACATGGCAACTTGTAAGTGGTGGTGTCCAACTTTATGTTGGTCAACATGTGTCAAATGGTGGCAAAATGGATATATACATATATATATGTATATATATATATATATATATATATTTAAGGAGCCCTGGGAACCCTTCGACGTGTCGGGGTCCTGGTTTAGACGAGCTTGCTTTTGAAGGGACCATTTCTCTGGTGGGTTCCATGCTAGGGGAAAAGGAGGGTATGTCTTAAAATGCTTGTATGTTGGCTTCCCTTGCACCAGGAAGGCACAAGCAAACGGCACCACATCCTTCGGCTTGGGGAAGAAATCCCCTTCCTCAATGAGCCCATCCCCCCAATCCCCTCCCTCTCTGAAATGGCGAGTCATAGCGGGAATCTCAGAAGCATGAATCCGCCTTAGGTTGGAATTTGAACGTGAAACCGGAAAAAAACAAAAAAAAAAAAAAAAAAAAAAAAAGCAACCTCGAGCCTCAAAAAACGGACCCGCGAAACCATCCGCCCATGTCGTACCCTCAAAAAAGGGTAAAACGCCACTTGAAATTCAGCATGGAAGCCCAAAAAAAAAAATGTGCAAATGGAACACAGCCCCCAAACCCATTGATCAGAAAACCGGCCACTCTGAGACGGACCCAAGTTCGTTGACGGGCCTGCCACAGCTTCACGTCCGAAGAGGTGGGATCGCAGAGGATGTGGGTGTTCACCTCGGGACAGGCCCAGTTCGGCTCGGGGTGCTCGTGTCAAGCGGCTCATGGGGGCCTCTCTTTGGGGCATTGGCATACCCCCAAGAGCAGCCCTCGGCGCTCCTACGTCCAAAACAGAGGGATCCTTGCATGATACACCTGAACATTGCCTTGAAAATTGTGGGTTCCCTTTATTCTTCGGCGTTGAAAAAGCCACATGATTCAAATGGTTGCAAAATTGGAGATCTTTTGAGGAGCCCTGTAAAACTTGAGCCAAAACAAAACGAAAACCTGCTTCCCAGCATGGCAATGCAACTGGGCCTTCGGGTTGGGAGCTTGTGCCGGGTTGGGTTGGGTGCACGGATGCCCGAAATCTGGCAATGGACAAGGACCCCCTTTTCCCATAAAGTTGATTGGTGAGCAAAGAGGATGACGAAACCCAACATGGGTTGCAATTGTGTCTATTTAGGAGTGTCTTTTTTTAGGGGACCCCCAAAATGATTGCGTTTCCTTTTGGTGTCCCTTAAAACCGCCCCTCTAAGAAATAGGTACCCTCAAGACAAGACAAACCCATTTCCCCCGACTGCTTGCCATGGTTGTGTGGTTGGCTTACGCCAAGCTGCCACCACCAAGCAATGACCTCCATGCTGCCCGGCCTGCGAAAAGTTGCTTCCGACTTTACGCTGGCCCCGGCGAAGTAAAGGGGGACACTTCTCAAGGAAAAGGGGAAGTGTCTGATTTAGAGGGAAGCTTGAGAGCCGAACCAAACCCTAGGAGCTGAGCTGCCAAGAATCAACTGGCCATGCATCCATCGAGTCTCCGAAAAGCTGCGAGATTCCCAAAATCTGTCTGCAAAAGAAATGAAGCGACCATAAAAAAGAAGAGGATACTGACCGTGCGCCGCATGCACTCGCAGCGCAGAGGAGAGAGAAATCGCAAAATCGCCGCCCGCGCCTGCCCGCTGTTGGGGCTTGCCTTGATTTGTAGATCTTCCAGCAGTATGGCCAGGGCAACATTGCCTGGCCGAAGTGAGGGACCCATTGAGATATTGAGACCTGTACACCCCCCCTTACAGTAGAAGATACCAACTGTGCGCCTGAAAGGATAGATCCAAAAGACACCTGCTTTACATGGGATCTTCTGTGGCCAAGGTCATTGTGTAAGGGGTTCTGCTCGGGGTTATAACAGACCTCAGCTATGTGGACAGTACCCAATTGAGCTATGGTTAACATTCATGGCGTGCCTAGCCGACACTGGAATTTGGTGAGCAACAAATGTTCACTCTCTTTCGGTAAACTTGCTGAATGTCCGCAATGTCACACCCCGTACAAATGATGGTGGCTGGTGGCTAGCATTGACAGCTGGTCATATGGCTGTGGAGCAAAAATTAGTAAATGGAACCAAGGACTCAAACCTGCAGTCCAATTCCTGGTGACTAAATTCTTGACCCATATCCAATATGTGTATGAGCTTTGGGGGCCCTTTGGTATGAACCTTTCGTGAGCAAAAGTCCGGAAAAACAATATTTGACAGCTGTGACGCCACCAGGCCTTTGGACAGCCTCTGAAGGCCTAAGAGCGGACTGGCGCAATGTACCAAAGGGTGTACCCCGTTTGGAGTGGAAAATGACAAACACGGCAGATCAAGGAGAAAGCAACCCCTTTTAGGGGGCCCTACTTTGATCAACTGCCACGTGCTCCCCTACAGATTGGCATGAAACACAACAAAAGACAACATGTTGGGGGTAGAAACTCCTTTTGGGGGAAGCCCCGGTTTGAGTTCGACGGTCATTTGCAGGGGCACCCAACCCATAGACAAATACAGTTTGAGCACATTGCGGAACCCAATTCAATCAATGCAGGTGAAAATCCACCCTGCGTATAGGACCAAACTTGCTGGTGCCCAGCAGGGTCATGAGGGAATCACCACCAAAAGCCATCCATCCTATGATGTCCCTCTCTTGGGAAACAACTGGGTTCATTCCATTTCTCATTCCCTGCATCTCTCGCACCGCTGCAAGCCATTTGCTCCCTTCTGCGATCCGCTGAGGCAGGGTCTCTTGTCGTTCTCAATGTCCCAACCGGTATTTTGACGGATCTCCATGGCAGACTCCCGATCGTAGTCCACCACCTTCATGGCGGGGGCCGATAAAACAAAACAAAAAATGGGGCGGACACCTGGGTCTCGCATTTTTTTTGTTAGGGGCCCCATTGGGATGGTGTTCTTGTTTCCTTGAATGTCCCTTGAAAAAACCGACCAGACCGAGGGGTGTGTCTTTTTTCAGGAATCGGACCTCCCCCAGATGGGGTCGGTGTTCTGCTTTGGGCTTCCCTGTAAAACCAACCAAAAGGAGGTGCCCTCAAAAAAGACACACACCCACTTCGGGACCAGCAGTTCACATTGCTGCCACTGCAACCACAGCCTGCTTGTCAACGCGACGGAATCGAGTGACTTTGTAGAAGGTCGCACAGCCTGGCAAATGGGACACGGGAACACCGGGCCTTTTTCAAATGAACATCTCGAGTCTAAATGGCCATGGGTCAAAAGCTCGTAGCCCCAGTGAACATCCCAATCCCCACTAAAATAGACTAAAATGGGTGGTGCACCTACCCCACAATGGGATCCCAAAACGGTCTTGACCCACAGCCAAATCACCGGGTTCCCTTTAAGCCCATGCTTTGGTGCGGTGGGGCGGGGCCGGTGTGCTGGGGGGTCACCGACCGGACCTGCCTTCAGCGGTGTACTTGCCCCGATGAAAGATCGGATCCTCGAGAAGGCGACCCAGTCACCGCACGCACGTCGCTTTGGGGGGGAACCCCCCTGAAATGCACAAACCAAAAAGAATTCAAGCCATGTCGATTTCGGGCTCCCCAATCTTGACTCCATGTTAATGGTAGACGGCATGGTGAATATCAAAACGGCAAAACTACCCTCTGATCGCTTGACTTTTTCAAAGCGGAGGCGGTCCCTCTTCTTCTGCTGAAAAACGCCCTCGTAGCCAGCTTCTGCCAGCTGCGGCCTCGCGAGAACCGGCACCATTCCTCCGGAGAAAACCAGCACCCCGGCCAAAAGAAACTCCAAGACTGGCCGAAATTTGGGAATTTCTTTTAGAAATTATATTCAAAGCATTTCCTTTGAAAGGGAAGAATGATATTCAACACCTTTTCTTGCAAAAGGGAAAATCATAAAAACCCTTTTCTGTTGGACAGTCGAAGGACTTTTCTGGGCAAACCAGTTTGCCATGCCGCCGCTCCGAGTCAAGCGTAGCGCGGCTTTGGCCACCGGCCTGAACCACTCGTCATAGGCGTCCTTCTGCACCTGACCATCCGAGACGGAAGTGAGTTTTTCTGGTGTCCCTAAGCCATTAAACAGGGGTACCAACTCAAAAACAAGACATATCCATATTGCCTGGTCTTCCAGTCTCAAAGAGTAACTCCACCCATTTAGGCAGCTCCCAATTGGAGGCAAAGACACTTGAGTCACAATCAAAACGGGTAGTAAGGGATAATCCCAGCCATAAATGGGTGCGGCCGCCTTTGCATTTTAAGATCAGGTTGTGATTACCCAAATGTGGTTTGCCCAAAAGAATGGGCTTCGGTTTCCCTCATTGGTGTCCCTGAAAAAAAGACACCAAAAACGGATAACCCCCCCCCCAACCGCCATTATTGTGACATCCTCAAACTGACTCTCTTAGCTGCTTTTGAGCGGAGTCTCACCCCTCAAACTGCAACCACTCGCCACTTTTAGGAGCCCATTTTAAACACGTTTAAGGAGCCTATGAATAACCAAATAACACGCCCCTCAGTTTGTTTGCACCGCGCATGGCAGTTTTAAGGGGCCCCAGATATGCCTCCTGCAGCGTGATGATGTCCGCAGCCATCGACTTCAACTCCTGAGCCACGAGCGCATCCCAGCAACATGGGTGGCGTAGGTGTTTCCACACATAGCGCACCCTCCAAGCAGACTCCAAAATGGGCAGACCAATCAGCTTGGAGATGGGGATGTCCGGTTTGCCTGTGGACCAATGAGAATGCTTGTTTTCTGGCTGCCCCATCCGAAATTCCGAAACAGGAGATGGGGATGTTCCGAAATTGCCAGATTCAATCCACAAAGGGCCCCGTTGAGACCAGCAACAAACAAAAGGGGCCGACACGCTTTGTCACGTGCGGGTCGTGGTACCTCAATAACGCCCGTTCAAGCAAACCAAGAAAGTGAACTCGGACAAAAATCGCCAAACGTCCGATGGAAAAGCCATCCAAGCCTTTAAAGGCCAGTCCCGACCTTGAAAATGCACCAACCAACCTCAAAAAAAAACCATCCAACCGTTGAAAAGCACCTAAATCCCTCCGTCACTCGTTGTTCGGACAACGAGTGACAGGTCCGGCGCTTGTGCACTTCCGGGGCGAGTCCCGCAGAGAGAGAGACATGTGGCTCCTTCATGATGAGGTGCTTCCGCCAAGTCCAGGACAGGGCCCACTTCTCGCAGTAAGGATAGACCTCCGTGCGGAGTTATTCGGCTGTGGCTCAAAAAAACGGTACCAAAATGGAACCTTGGTAAGTGGAAACATGGACCAAAACCCGCGTAACCCCTCCTGTCTAATTTTGAGCCACAGCCAGGAAATTCCTCAAAATGAGAGTCTTTCTCAAAATGGGTGTCTTTTCTCAAAATGGGTTGACTTGGTGTTGGTACCCGTTGTTGTGGTTTTTAAGGGAAACCAACAGGAAACCGTTCCCATTTTGGGGGAGTGGGTCTGCGTCAAAATTGGGATGTGGACCCAACAAACATTACCATGACGGTGGAATTCCAGGTCTGAACCACCAAATGGGCTTTGGTTGTTCTTTTTAGCTTCCCGTTGAAAACCAAGGTGAAAAGGATACTAAGCTTCAAAAAACCGCGAACCCACGGCACCTCACTTGCTCAGCAGCCATGGACGCTTGGGTGCGGGCCGACTCGGTGGCATACAAATCGGCCAAGACCTCAGGCGAACGCAACTTCCAAGTTGCTTCAAGCAGTTGCATCGGATTTGCGTAAGCCAAGAGCATTCCAATTCATCACCTTGAACTGCTTGTTCAGCCACTCTGCCTGAGAGACAGCGAAGCTTTCAGCACTTTTTCAGAGATCCGCGGCCCGGCGCCCGTCAGCAGGCACGTGCGAGATGCACTGAGGCTCGAGGCGTTGAAAGTGGGCCCGTTGGTGACCATGCGGCGACAGCGTGCCTTGCAGATGGCATGTCGGATGCGACGGAAGGCTGTGGGTGAAAACCCGGGAAACCCCTGGTGAACATCAATATAGGTGGTATATGGGTGTTCATCCGCCCCAAAATGGAGGCATAGGTTATGACCCATGGCCACAACTCTCCGCAGAGCCTCCTTGGGCGTGGGGATGACAGTCCCAGTGGTGATGGTCATGCCGCCGGTGGTTGCATCGCGGCCGCCCTGCAGCCAGCAACAATCACGGTTCAAATACGGCGACATGAAAGGTTGAGTTCACTTGTCCTTGGCTTCCCTTGAAGCCGAGCTTGAAAAGGGCACCCTCCCAAAAAAAACTCACCCATGACAAAGTGCACCATCCTTGCACCTTGTCGCTTCAAACGGGGTTGCATGTGGTATCTCCAAAACCGGGATCTCACCTCCAGACCCGGACCCGTTGAGAAAACTTCCGTCCTTGACCAAGGGAGTGATCTCCAGGCGGAGGGGCCGATCAATGTCCTTCAGCTCTGCAGCCCTCGCAGAACTCGAGCTGAAGCCCGAGGTTAGATCCCCCCTGCCTTAAGGGGGAGGGTGGGAGTCCCCCAATTCCATTGATCCAGTCTGGGGTGGGGATTTTGTGAGGTTCTGAGAACCTAACAAAGGAGAAAAGAACTTCCTCAAGCTCAGTCCTCTTTGCCAGGGCAGTACGACCGAGTGTTGGCCTCGATCCAGCAAGTTGGCACATCAACTGAACCACCTTGCCCCAGGTTCAAAAACCTTGACGATTCGACCAATCCTGTGTTGGAGAAAAAAAAAAAAAAACATACCCCATTCCACTGTCCACAAGACAGGACAACATACCCATTCCGCTGTAAGCCGTCCCTTGCAACAAACCGAATCATTCCACCGGTCGCGTTTGGCTCAGGCTTCCGCCACCTCCACCCACTCAGCGATCTGCTCCTCGCGGGGATGTTTTCTCGTTTGCTTTCTGCTCCCCTGCAAAAAGGGACTAACTTTTAGTGCTTTGATGAAAAATATTAGTTGGCAAGAAGCTAAAGTCCCAACATCCAAGCAAAATGCAACAATGTCTTCGCGGCTGGCCCGCAGGCCCCAAAATGGCTCCGGTCCTGCTTGTCCACATCGTCCTTCGTGCCCCACCTCAGATCCACAAGTCCACGAGTCCACTGGCAGACCAGGTTTGGAAAGTTGTCAAACCCAGGGGCCCAGGGTGGAAAAATGTTCGGTTTCTCTTCCACTGGTCTTGAAGCATACACACGGCATTGTCCTCAAGTTCATCGGATTCGTCATTCCGCTTTGTTCCCCAACATGGTGGAAAGATACATATGCAAAAGCTTGTCACTCAAAGGAATCACCAGTCACACGCAACCATTTGCTGTGCCTGCGGCCAGGAACAAAGGTAATGGGAACCCCGGATTGATAAGCTTCAGGTTGATTTTGATCGGGGGTTGGATGTCCCCTTTTGCTCGGGGTTCATCAACAAAGGAACAACCCCTCTAGGAGGGGCTTATTAATCCGGAATCAACATGAGTGACCAAAAAGTCAACAGGCGCTCTCCGGAGCTAAGCACAGCACATCGCCTTCGGAATGGTGTAGTAGCCCTTGAGAAAGCACTCCTGCCCCAAATTGCATGCAATGGACGCCTGCCACTGACTTTGCAACTAGGTCAAGCCAATGCATGTCCTTGGAGCAGTAACACAGGTGTGTCTTCGCCTCAAAAGCTGCATCGCTGCACTGATGCATGCGGAAAGAGTCACAGAAAGCAGCTGGGGCTGACAACGGCTTGGGCTATGTGCGCGGCCACATCTTTGATTTGTGACATCTTGTGGGGGTGGTAGTAGCAAGGCCTCACCGAAGGCGTGCGTCTGTGAACAATGCTGCGGAAACCGCACATACTGTGGATGGACGAAATCCTGCACCACTTTGAAAGCATGGGAAACCATTGTTTGCTGGTATTTACAGGGGAACCATTATTGCAGGGTTTCCTTGGTGGTGCAGGATTTCGCCCATCCGCAGCAGAGAAACAATTCTCTCTTGTTCCCCCATCATGGCAAAACCGCAAAGAATACAGCCCTCAATCTCGGCTGTTCCGAGAAAAACAAAAAAACTTTGGAGCCCGAAACCCATTGACGTTTGGTTCTAGTAGTCACTACCATACTACATGGTTCTAACAGGCACTTGCTTGAGTTCCCAAAGTTGCTGCTGTGGTTCGAGATAACCAACACAGCAGAACCACCTATGGCCACCGGGAAATGAGTTGACCCAAATGCGCACATGACATCGGGAAAAACTCCGCCCGAGGGTGCGTCTTCACCACTGGCCCACGGAGCCATCGGTACCGGACGTTCGGGCCTGGGTGGTCGACCATCTGGCGATCAGCTTCCCTCTTGCTTGGACGTTTGGAGACGGGCGATTTGGAGGTGCTGGGGTGGTTTCCCATTTGCCCTCAACAATGGGTGGTTTGGGTTCATGAGGGGTTGGGCGGTGGTTTCCCAGTTACCCACAAGAACCAGGACGTGGTTCAAATCCAACTCCCAACCGCCAATCCAAAACCAGGAGTTACCTGATACGTGGCTGCGAATTTTGGTTCCCAGACCCCTTGGTGGACATCATCTAGGTTTGGACGTGTCCTACCACTCTTGAGGTAGTTCCCTTGAAAAACACGGGGCCATGTGTCAGAATTGACCCCAAAAAATAGCCTCGGTGTGTGTCTTCCCTTTCAAGCAAACCAAAAAAGGTACCGAGCCTCAAACCACACCCACCCAAATTGCGTTTGAAGTTCCCCAAGGGTGCTACTTTCCGGAAGAAAAAGAGTTGCGAAACCGTCGGTGCTTGAAAGGAACTATGCTTGCCAAGCATGGAGAATCCAGCAGCACAGTGCCAAGCAGGACTCGACTGAGATCCGGGCAGTTCCCCTTATCCTCAAATTGTCTGCCGTCCTTGTCTTTGAGTCCAATGTACACGGGCACCTGCAACTGCAACATGCGAAAATCAATAATAATAATAAAATAAATATATCAAAAAAAATATAAATAAATAAATAAATAAATAAATAAACAAACAAACAAATAAACAAATATATATATATATAATTCAGCGAGACTCAGCGCGCGAACCCCCCAAACTCCCTTTTCCGCCGGGGGAAAAACAGAAAGAGAGGAAGTCACTGAAGACCTGGGGTACATCGAATCTGTCCGGTTTGCCTTGGGGAACCATCAAAATGAATGATGGGTCTCCCTTTGGTTTCCCTTGCAAATAAAACGCCAAAGAGGGTAGCCTCAAAAAAATAAGCACATATATATATATATATGGCTGGCCATATATATGTAGAGAAGCTTGTCAGATTCTGATTCATACTTCGTCTGCCCTAAGACATGCAAGCAAAATGGAGGAGACCCCAGACGTCGCGCCTCTGAAACGACCACTGGTCGATGCCCACGCACAAGTTCAGCGCGCACCACTGTCACCAGTGGTTGCTCCTCACACACAGAGCAGTGAGGAGCCTAAAAACGAAAACGTGTTTCTACTGCAACGGCCGGCGGGATGTGGGTGTTGCCTTCTTGACTTGGTGGTTTGAAAGGGAAAAACAAAAGGACAACTACCATTTTCGGGGGTCCCCTAAAAATGACACCCATTGTCCTTGCGGTGAAAGTTGGCTGCATGCTCCCTTGTGCCTTTCCATGGTCACAAAGGGATCCCCTTCAAGGAAACCGCAAATGCTGGGATGCTTCACTTCGGGGTCATTCCCTCCCTTGAGAACCAGCAAGATTCTTCCGCTGGTTATAAAGCCTGAAAACATCGTCCTTGTTCAAAGCTTGAAGCCAGGTAAAAGAAGTGAGCTTATACTTAAAAACGTTTAGCCATTGACCAGAGGTTAAAGTCTTATTACCCTCCGGCCCTAAAGTACTAGTAGGAGCCGAACCTACCACGGCCCTTATGAATTGCTGGGCGCCGCTCGACACCGCATCCCCCCCCCCCCAGCGGCCCGGCGCCCGGGCTCCTCATCCGACGCAGAGCGGCTGCTGCTGGAACCTCGTGGCAAGCCCCGCAGACTTGGAACTACCTTGAGGGAGAGCCTCCATAAAAGATCATTTATATTTAAGCCATTAACTCAATAACAATTGTCCCATACCCCTCCCAGATTGCTTCTGAACCACTGGATATGATCGAACCTCATCTGGCAAGTAGGTCAGTCCTGAAGACTTTAGCACCCCGATGCGTGAGGCGTTGTCTTTTCGGTCGTGACTGTTTTTTGGGGGTAGGGTAGGCCATGGTGTGACAAATCCATCTGTATTGGCAAACCCAGCAAAGAAGACAAGGCAAGCGGGGGCATTGGGAGCTCAATGAGGCGTTTTGCTTCGGGGTAGCGATCTGGGGGTAGTGAAAGCCCTCGGCCATTGTGTGTCCAACAACCACGGCGTTTGCATAAACAACTGACACCGCGGACATGTAAATGATACGTCCCCTAAAGGGACATGAGCAAATCGGGGCCTTGTCGCCCTTCATTGTTTTGTGGCTGCCTCGGGCCGTAGACCGGCAACAATATGGTCTTCTCAAAATACCGTGGATGGACGAAATCCTGCACCAGTTGGGATGGATGAAACCCTCCGAATGCTGGGATAAACCACCTACCAAGCGGTGCAGGATCCTGTCCAGCCACAGTCAGCAACCCTAAAGAAAGGGCACCGAGCCTCAAACAAGGAACTGGTCATATATGCGGGTTCCCGCACAGGGCTCGTCGCCTGTGTGTCCCGAACCCCGAGTCGACCATGCGCTACTAGATACGGGTGTCTTTTTGTTGAGGCGACCCCTTTCAGAAGGGCATGTCACAGGAAAAAAACAAGGTTGAGTTTTTCTCATTGTAAGACACGACCACATTTGGGTATGTGTCAAAATAGGGGACCCCCAAAACGGCGGCTTCCGTATTTTCAGCGGCCTCGTTCCAAACTGCGTCCTGGCGCCATTGGGGTCCTGGCTCCGATCAGCCGGTTTTCGCAAAGCCAAATGAGCCAGTGACTTGACCACTATCACCTTCAAGTGGCTTGTTTGTGGTTGTTTAGCCCATTTGGGTGCGTCTTTGTTTGCGGGCTCCGTCCCCGAAACATAGTGGTTGTTGTTTTGGTTTGCTTTCAAATCACAAAAAAAGAGGGTACCAACTCCAAGAAAAGAGCCACCCAGTAAACCCTTACAGGACGGGAGCAAGCCCGGTTTCAGCTTTCCAACCTCCAAGGATGGTCAGCCTCTGCAAGAACTGGCGCAAAACCCCAAACCGTCAATGAAGGTCTACCTGAGTCACTCGGTCCACGAAATCCTCAGATATCCTCGAAATTACCCGAGCGATTTTGTCCGGGTTCCCGCCGCCAAAAAAGCAAGCTTGAGAACAGGTCCCTCAAAGTGCGACGACTTGCAAAAAAGTACCCCTCTTATCTAGCAAAGTAAAACCTGACTGTGGAGCCGTAGCCCACAACCCATGCAGCAACCCCAACAAAGATGGCGCCCTTTCCCTTTAAAGCGACCACAAAAAAGGGTACCCTCAAAACAAAGACACCCAAAGGTTTTGCGAAATGAACGAGTGAAGCTGTCCCGGCCTCAACGCAGCTGCCACAAGAAAATGCACTCTCCACAACAGGACAGGTGCCAGGGGTGCCGTTCGGAATGCCGTTCGGAATGCCTGAGATGTTGCCTGCGTCCAATGGGCTTTGGAGGCTCAAGTTGGTGTCCGTGGGATCTAGCTGAGTCTCATGAGACCTTCCTTCGAGCCTACGACATGCAGCTTGGCATTGCTTTGCATGCAACAAGACCGGCACGCATCGCATGATCTCGCATGACTTCGCGGACGGCAACTATGGGTATGAGTTTTGCCGGGCACCAGCAAAACGGTTAAAAGACATGATTCCAACCATGTGTTCATGTCGAGAGCATTCATTCTCAATAAATGTCAGACCCATAAGCCATGACTGCCCTTTCGCCCTCATTCGTGGATCCATGCGGGTGTCTCTCAAACTGGGGCACCCCCCTTGACGTGGCTGGTTTCGATGTCCTTTCCCCAAGCAAACAAAAAAAAAAAAAACATCCAAAAGTGGGGGGTCCGCACTTTTTGAGAGACCCCCGTGCTAAGGTGTAAAGAGAGTGAGCACGGGTGGCTCACTTTCGGCTCTTCGCCGAGCTATCAGACTGGGGCTTCGGGCTTCTGAGGCTCCTCAAAGATGGAGCTTTTGGAGGAAATCCTGTTCTAACATCTGCTTGTGGTTCGTATTTACCAGGAAACAAAAGGACACCAACCACTTTTGGGAATCATATTTTGAAGCTTTTCCTCAGGTTGAGTCCCATGTGTACTTCTCAACAAATGGAATCGGTCCCATAAAATGGCAACGGGTTCGTTCTGTTTCCCTCTATATGTCCACCAAAACGGGGTCCGAATCCCATTCTGAGAAACTCCCATATGTTGAATTTGTTGTTGTTCAACAACCCCCTGTGTGTTTTCCTTTTAAAGGGATGAAACCACGGGTCGTTGTTTCAAGGATTTTTGCGCACCCACACCTGGCAGAGGTTTCCGACCGCGCGCCGCCGCCGGCGCCGGTCGCCGCGCTCTTGGCGGAGCCGTCTTTGGCCAAGTTCTGAGCCCAGGATCGGATGACCTGGTTGAGTGCGTCTTTTTTTCGGAGAAACGGGTCCCCTTTGGGTTGGTTTTAAGAGGGAAACCAAAAGGAAAATCAACATTTAAGGGGGTCCCCCCCCCAAAAAAAAAACGGACCCGGTTCTCAGTAAGGAATCAACAGGGGTTTTGGGAATTAACCCAGGGATCCCCTATGAAACCACAAGTGATGGTTTACAGCGGGTCATTCCCTCATTCCCTGCTGAGAGCCGTTCCCCATCGGTTCCCCCTCCACCAGCTGTAAATCGGTGACGACCTTGTCACTTGCAAGGGGGTTCTCTTCACCACAGAAATTTGCAACCTAAACCCTGTTTTCCAGATGCCTCCAGCCATTTCTCGCCGTCGCTTTTGATCTCCTTGGGCACGCTCACCTACATGTTGGCGTGTGTTTCTGTGTGCGTTTTTTGGGGAGGCGAAAGGTAGCCTTTTCACCATTTTCCGGGTCCGCTCTCTGACACATCTGGCCATGAGACCAAAAAAGAATCCGCACCCCTTTTGTTGTTTGAGTTGAAAGGGAATTCAGTCCACAAAACCGGAAAAAAAAGGGGGCGCCACTGGGCGACCGGGTTTTGGCAGCCAGGCTTAAGCCGGCGAGCCTCCACCAAGGCCTTGACCCAGCAGAACTTCACCCACTCCAGCGACAGCTTGCGCTCGAAGAGGATGTTCCCAGTCTGGGGATCCACGCTGAAGGTGTCGCACTTGATCACGTTGAAGCAGGTGCCATACGGCACGTCCAATGACATGATCACGCTCTCCTTGGGCTCATTCTGAGGTTCAAGCGATATCCACTTTTTGCTGCTGGAACACCTGGCCCCTTTCCAAGGGTTGCTACTCCCCAGTAAAAACCCAACACGGGGCCTGGGTTTTCTCTTCTCTTCATACGGAGTTTAGAGAACCTTGAGACTTTTGCTTAAGAGAGCCACGACCTTGGGCCACATAGTGGTGTAATCTGTAGAAGAGTTGTGCAGGTCCTACCAAGGAGTATCCAAGCTGCCAGCAACACCAAGTTGTGTAGCCAAACTGTACCTCTTCTCTTTCAACTTGTACCCAGATTGTGTCGCCAAGTTTCCTGCAGAACCAAGTTTAAATCGCTGTTGTTTCAACAACTTCCTTTTGGCTTCCCTTTAATGAAGACCCAAAAGGATGAGAGGGATGCATAAAGGTGGTACCAAGAAATCCACCACCGTTCAGATAGCCACCTTTGGGTACCCAAGCGAAAGGGGTGGCTGTTTAAACAAACTAATCTTCATTCAGGAAACCCAGGACTAATAAACCTTGAGTGGCTTCATACACGGGTGTCCCATTGCAGAGAGGATCCTTGGCTTTGGGGAAACTTGCGAACCAAGTCAATCTGCAGAGTATTTCGGTCATACCGATAGTCTAGTAAACAGCCCCCTGCTTCGTAATTAGAGCAAGCAGGCCTGGAGTACACTCCCGCCCTGGTGTGTCATTGTTTTTTTTGTTCCCCCGAAATGGGGAGAACGCCAAGACAAATACCCGAATTACATCTCTCTCTCTCTCTCTCGCTCTCTCTCTTCTGTTTGAAGTGGCAAAACTGAGTGGCTCTCCAAACAAAACAACAGCTTTTCGGTGGGAGACTTCTGAGACTTCCGAGCAAACCCAAAAAACAAGAAGCTGTTGGCAGGGAGACTTGCTTTGCGCTACTTCTGCGTAAACAACGAAGAAAAAAACACGTTGGCCATGGGAGAGCCCAAAAAAGGAAAGACTTTCGCCTACGCCGAGTCTCCAGCAGCAGCCGCTTCTCGTCTGCCACCAGGTGCCAGGTGCAGGCGCAGCGAGACTCCTTGGGGCACATGGGCGCCGGGGGCACCGGCACGCGCATGGACATGGACCGCACCTGCCGAGGCGTTTCCAGCGGCGCGCAGGCCCCGGGGAAGGGCTTCTCTGGCTTGGGCCAGGGTCCGGTGGGTCTTGGAGAAGGGGACACCCCGCTTTTCTTTGGGGACACTCCGATTGATCCACCAGGTTGATTGGGGTATGTGGAACACGTTCCCCAACTCAATCACAAACCATCAGAAAGCTCGGGGAGTTGCTCAAAATGGTTTTAAGGGTAGCTCTCGCGCTCAGCGAAACCCCTCCCACCCAATTCGCCCGTTGACGGGTGTCTTGGCTTCGGGCTGGATTCCCTTGGGCCCACGGGGTTCCGAGAAGGCAGGCGCGAGGGATGAAGGGAATTGGAAGGGCCCCCCAAAAAACACCTCCATGGTCCATGTCCTATGGTTCCTTTCAAGGGGACCAAGGGGACCTATGGTTCCTTTCAAGGGGACCTATGGCTCCTTTCAAGAAAAACTGAGCGCCAGCAAGGGTTCTCCTCCCCCGAACCCGCCCCCTTTTCCCCCCCCCCCCGTTGAAGGGTTTTGGCTTCCCCGCGAAAACGGGCAGATGGGTGGTGGGTTTTGGAGTGGGTACCCCCTTTTTTGTGTGGTTTTCAGGGAAAGCAAAAGGAAAAAGGGGGGGGAGGGTCCCCCAAAACAGGAGGGACGGAAGGACAATCATGTGTGTAGGATCCGATCGAACCCATTTCGGGGGCTTCTCAAAACGCACCCGCTCTTTGGCATTCAAAGGCGATTCCCGACTCACCCTCCCCACGTGCCATGGACACTTCGAGTATGTATGTCGTAGCCGAGAACCGGAATAAGAATCAAATGAAAAGAAGATGGAGAAAAAAAACTGGCCGCTCCCCCTCCCCCCCAAACCCCCCAAACCCCCCAAACCCCTCCCCCGCATTCGCCCCCCCTAAGCGGCCCCCAACCGCGCGCCTGTCCCTGGACCTTTTGGGAGGGCCCCGAAGTCCAAGGCCCCAGCTCGATCTCGTGGGCGCGCAAATCCGCCAGCTGCAGCTGCATCAGGTTCCCCTCGGCCTGGGTCGCCCGCCCCAAAACGGCCCCCCGTTTTTAAGCCCCCCCGGTTCTGCGGCCCACCCAACGGGGGAAATCGATCCTCCTGCTCCTTGCCCGCGGAAAAAAAAGAAGGGGGGTGGGGGGGGAGGGACCCAAACTGACCCCCAAAAAGGAAAACCAAAAAAGAAAAAACACCCAAACTCCTGGGGCGGTCGGCGTTTTCGGGGGGGGGGGGGGGGAAGTTTTCAGCCGAACAAACGGGGGCCCCCCCCGAGCCTCCAAAAAAAAAGAAGAAAAAGCCCCGCGAAACGGATGGAGCGCAAGCGTCCGCCAACAGGGCGGTGGTGGAAAAACGAATCCACGAAGCTGCGATACAACCAGCAAAAGCTTCCCAAAGACTAACCCCCCAAGAAAAACAAAGGGGGAGTCCCAAAAGTATCACAGAAGTGGGGATGAATATCTTGATCCAACCCTCGTTTGGCTGCGGTTGTCAAAAATAGGGCAAGCCCAGAATTGGTTGCCCTGGTAAATAGACCCAAGGACGGTCCAATTCCTGGTGACTCATTTTGCCCCCAGACCCATTTAAAAATGTAACCCAACTGAGCTTCCTCTACAAATCGACGGGCTTTTGGGATTCCAGCTTAACTAAAAAAATGAATCTCTCTTGCTTTGCCCCGAATGGGGGCTGAGGCACAGCCCCCACCGGAGGGGCCCATAGGCCAGGCTCCATACCCCTTTTTCTGGTACCCACAAAAACCGGTCGTATCTGTGCATCCCTCTTCTAGAGGTATGAAATGGTATGAAGAACAACAAGCCACTTAAGCCGGGGTTTCTTAGCTCAAGAGAGCTGCGAGGGAAACCACACATTTAGACAGAGCTTCCTCACTGCTCGGCAAGCCCCACATGTTTAAAACCCGCTCTTGCTTGACTTTTGGCTTCAAAGGAATTGGTCCAGATGGTTCGAAGTCTTGCGAATGGCCTCCCAGTCCCCCTCCAGGTCTTTTCTGATGTCCTCCAGGGGGATCAAGCCCAGATCCACCTGACGAAGGCCCCAAATGGAAAAGCCATCCGAACATGTTGACACCAAACGGATCTTGACTTTTTGAGGCTACAGTTTTTTCCTTTCGACTTGGCCTTTAAAAGGGAAACCAAAAGGGAAAAACAAGGAGCCGCTTCGCGGTGGCCCCAAAAAAACAAAAACCTCCTGGCCTCTAAAATCACCTGCGGCGGCGACACGCCCTTCTCCGCCATGAGCGTGGAGTTCAAGCGCTTGGCGGCCCGGGAGCCGGGGCTCTCCTCCTAAAACTCGGGGGCTGGGGACAGAGGGGGAGGGGGACAAAGGGGGACAGGGGGGGAGGGGGACAGGGGGGAGGACAGGGGAGGACAGGGGAGGACAGGGGGAAGGGGGGGAGGACAGGGGGAAGGTTAATAAAGCCTTATTCAGGGCTCTATAACGGCGTATTTAGGCTCCCTCCCTCCCCCTTCCCGCCCCTCCCTCCCCACCAGCCCCCATCCCCATGACTGTTTACTGGTTGCCAACCAACAAACAGGTCGGGAAAACGGAAAACCCCTGTAAACTGACCCGAACTCCTTCTATCCCGAGGGATTAAATCCATCCCCTCAAATCAACTCATAAGGCTCCTGCACCTCTCCCATATCCGGCAGGAAGGTGGGCTGCCATCTCCTCCTGCGCACGTGCGAGAAGCCTCGCACCCCGCAGCTCCAGCTCCCCGGCTCGAGGTAGAAATCCACCGCGTACTGCCAGCCCTCGCGGTCCGAGGTCTCATCCACCACGATGCTCCACTGACCTTGCGGCCAGAAACACGCACAGAAACACGCACAGAAACACACACAGACAGGCAAACAAGGAGGCACATAGACACACAGGCAAACACACAGGCAAACACACAGGCAAACACACAGGCAGGCAAACACACAGGCACACAGACAGATCCAACCCAAAAAGACAAGATATATATAAAGCATTTATTTGCAGGCAAAGGAAAACAAAGGAAGCCCAATTGGCAAAGACGAAAGGCGAGGCAAAAGTTTGGCCACGTGACAAGGCCGATACCTCCCCAAGAACTTCACCTTGGTGATGGGAGGCCTCTCGCTTTCAGCAGCTTCATCCACATCTATGTCCTCTGGGATGAAGGGATGGGGCACATAATGATCCTCAATGGCCTTGCTGCAACGACCCCCCCTGCAAAAAGTGTGTTTTTTGTTTGTTTTCCGGTTTTTTCCGCTTTTCTTACAAAAACAATGGGGGGGTTAGTACGGAAAACGCTTAAATATGTCCACCAAAAAGGCTAAAGTCTAAAGATCCGTTGCCCAATCGTCAAGTGGCCATCCACTTGATCGCCTTTTGGTAGTCGTGGGGCAAGAAGGGCGCACGCCAGTCGGTGTGCCAAATGGTGGTGCGCCTAAAAAAACACACACAAAAGGTTCCCAGGCAAACGATATACACAGTGGTTTAAACAAGGGTTCTAATTTGTGTGGGGTTCAGTAAAACACGCGATCTCCAATGATCCTGACTAGATTTGGTCCTTGAGTTGGTTTTAAAGCACCCCACAACCTCATTCTAATCATTCAAGCACTTATGGATGCTGTTTTAGGGGGATCCCCCCAAAATGAAGGTTGTCCTTTTCTTTTTGCTCCTTCAAAACCAGCCAAAAAAGAGGTACCCTCCATTTAAATTAACAAAAAACACTATAGCAATGGGTCAAAATCCAGTACCCCCAGTGAACATCCCAATCCCCACTAAAATACGCTCTAAAATGGGTGGTGAATTCACCTACCAACCAAAATGGGATCCCCTTGAACGGTTTTGACCACCACAGCCATCTCAAGCCTCTGGAGCTCCCACACCAGACTCATCTCCTCCAGGTCCGCCACCATCTCATCGGTGGTCACGGCCGAGATCCGGGTCCGGGGTCCTCAAAAGTGCGAGCCCTCGGGAGTTGTTTTTTCCAAAAGGATCCCCCGAAAAATGGCGGCAGGAGCCGTTTCACCGGTTTCCCTTGAAACCAACCCCAAGGGTACCATCAAAAAATCCCCGGTGGTTTTTCTTGAAACCAACCCCAACAAGGGGTTAAGCGAAAAATGAGCCTCACTGGCTGAAAACCCGGTATTCAAATAGGTCGATGCCCAGAAGCATGTAAAGAATGAACTAGTTATGGCTCCCTTACTAAGCTCCATCTACCCGGGTTATGATTGTGGCTCAAATGGCTGCCGTTTCTCGGTGGGTACCATCGAAACAAAACAAGGGTACCATCGAAAAGACAGAGAGACCTCCAGGATACCAAGCGTTAAAGGTACAACACACCGGCCAGCACACCCGTTTAGACATGCTGGATACCTACTGTTTCCATATCCACCAGGGGGTTGTCCTTGTTTGTGAATTCGCTGACACCAACTTCTACCAGTTGCTCATGGCCTCATCTCTTGGCCTTGAAAAGTCAACTCCTGAAACGGAGCCCTTGCCCTCGGCTCACTCAAGACATCCGATGTTGCCCCGAGAAGGCCAACTAAGGCACCCGAGAGTCTCACCACGGACAAAGTTGGGCACCAAGCTGCCGGAAAGGAAAAAAAAAATCCGAAGGGTTTTGTTTGCACCAGTGGTTCGCCTCACCTGTTTAAAAAGCCCATAAATTTCAACCACCTCTTCTTTAAAGCTCCATCTAGGGTGTTCCCTTTAACGGCCCCTTGAGTTTACTGCACAAGAACTTCGCACCCGCCCTGGCCCCTCCACGGGTCCTGAGGACAAAATATCCCGCATGCCGGAGGGCGACTTGTCGTCCACCGGCTCCTGGTCTGCGGAGGGCACCATGTCGAAGAGTCCAGTGCCGGTGAAGTAGGACACCTCACCGTGCAGACCATTTACCCTCCAAACCAGGACCCCTTTGGAAGACTTGGTCCCATTTAACGCCTTCTGGGAGCTTCCATGTTAGTCTGTTGGGAGAGTAACTCATTTAACAAAAAAGATAAAGAAGAAGAAAAAAAACGCCCAAGCCGGATAAAGGCAGGATCTGTCCAGTCAAATTAGGTTTGTGGAAGGTTTGGGTTCGGAGCAATGCCGGGGTTTTCCCATGCCTTTGGCCGTTTTTCACAGAAGAGGTGGCAAAGACGACTGTTCTGACCTTAGAGTTCCGGTTGTTTGGTCTTGATGTGAAACATGAGGGCCTCAGATTCGATCGCTTCCATGAGGGGAGCTCCCAATCGCTTTTTTCGATGTTGGGCTCCCAAGATCGCCCCGGAAGGTGAACCCGAAATCTTAAGGGTTCCCAAATTTGCCATTCTTTCGCCCCCTTCTTGTGGTTCAGGTCTCCTTCTGGTGATCAAGTGTTTTTCTTTTTTTTGTTCAAAGGTCCTTCAGGTTGCAAGAGAGTCCAAGTTCCAAGGGTCTTGCTTTTCCATGTCGGCTCATTTTTGGTCACTGCACAGCTGACCTTTTGGCCCCTCAGTTTCCAATTCGTCCACTAGTCAAGGTTCCAAACGGCTTCGATTTCCAGATCCTTTGGATGGGTGTCTTGTACCCTTTTTTCTCTTTGGTTGGCTAGTCAAACCAAAGGTTGGTTGGTTAGTTGGTTGGTTGGTTGGTTGGTTGGCTGGCTGGCTGGCTGGCTGGCTGGCTGGCTGGCTGGCTGGCTGGCTGGCTGGCTGGCTGGCTGGCTGGCTGGCTGGTTGGTTGGTTGGTGGGTCGGTTGTTGGTTGGTGGGTCGGTCGGTTGTTGGTTGCTTGGTTGGGAGGACAGGGCGACAGTTCCTTCGAGGCGCACCTCCTCCCGGCGCTACCCTGGGAGACCGGAATCCATTTTCGGGTTGTTGACACACTTGGCTGTGGGTCAAAACCAATGGGATCCCATTTTGGGGTAGGTGAATTCACCACCCATTTTAGAACCTATTTTAGTGAGGATCGGGATGTTCACTGGGGGTACGATTTGGATTTTGACCCATGGCCAGTTCAAACTCCTCGCACTGACGAGGCGCGCAGCAGTGGAACTGGGCCAAGACCCCGAGGTCGAAGACCATCAAGTCCAAGGTGTCCACGGAAACGGCATCGATCTCCACCGAGCGCTTCAACCGGAGCCGCACCGGGTGCAGGGAGCCTAAAGTATTTCTCCATTCGAGTTTTGATCGAAGAGGTGCAGATGGAACCCGGAAAAAGCCTCCAAGTTGAAGAGGACCCTTCTTGAGGGGGGGGGGCGTACCTTTAGGGGCCATGTTGGAATGCAAACGTGGAAACCATCATCGTCCAACAAGTTGAAAGCTCAACATAGTTGAAACATGCTTGGAAGGTCTTGCTCTTGCATGTAAACAGTTTTCGTGAGGATATAAATCATCTAACATATTCCGCGGGTGGCCAGTTCGTGAACAAAGCCAGGCATCTTCCAAAAAGCCAGCCAACTCAAAGCTTGAGAAACCCCATGAACTCCAACCAACCACCCCTCGAAATTTCACGGAAAGCACGGCACGCCGAAAGGGAGTTTCGCGTCTTCGCCGTTTTCGAGCCCATGTCAACTAGGACTAGCTGCCCTGAGGAGTAGCGGGCCGGGTCTCGAAAACCCCCAGGCTCCAATTCCCAAAAGCCGGCCTTGCCCCTGCAACGCGAAACAGAAGGAGTTTGCCAAAGGTTGAGAGGTCGAAGGCTCAAAAGTTGAAATGTAAAAAGTTGAAAGGTCAAAAAAGTTGAAATGTTAAAAATCGAAATGTCAAAAGTCGACATGTCAAAAGTTGAAATGTCAAAAGTTGAAATGTCAAAGGCTCCAAAAAAGAATGAAAGGTCCTCAAAAAGATCTACCAAAGCTTCGAAGCATCTGTCCTCCGTAATGAGGCGCACCCACTCCAGCTGGGACCAGGTCAGCGTGAACCTCGCCTCCATTCCCAGCACACAGGACCGGAAGCAGAGGCGCTCCGAGGTGATGTAGCCTCTACTGGGTGTCTCGTTTCCCTCGTTTCCCTGTCTCTCGTCGTCGGTTACACGCCAAAAACACGGGGGCCCAAAAGTTGACATCTCCCCCAGGCGATTCCATGATGGAAACTCGATCCCAGGACCCCCGAAATGGAAGACTTGGCTCCATGTTGCGCAACATTGTTCCTGGCCGTGTCCTCTTCAAACCTCCATCAAAATTTGGGGCACCCCCAAAAAAGGACGAGCCACCAGGAGTTTGAATGGGTCCCGAACCCGAAATGGACCTCAGCGAAAGGTGGATTCATATGCACCAACCACTGTTGGTTGGCGGTTCCAGCTCGTAAACTTCATCATGGAACCACACGCCTGGATAATTTACTCAGGCATTCATACTCCCAAGCAAAAAGTTTGGTCTAGAACTAACCCCAAGACCAACGCAGGTTGAACCCCGCGGCTCGCCTTTGGTGGCCAAATGGTGGACCGAGTCTTGATTGAGTGTCCGCCATTTTTTGGGGGAGTCCCCAGTGTGCTGTTGCCTTCCCGTCAAACACCAACCCAAACACGGCTTTTCCGAAAACTCCCAAATCCGCCTCACCGAAGTCCAAACTCCTCGCCTTTCCAACATCTGTGGGGGGTTGAACCCAATGGACCTCTGTTTCTTCGTAGCTTCGTGTTCAGTTCAGACCTTTCCAGAAATCGTTGCTTTTCAGGTTGAACCCCATGTTCAGACCTCACCAGACTTCGGTTTTTAAAGGTTTTGAACCTGTTGTCCAAGTCACAGGTGCCCGGGTGGCGGAAGGTCTTTGACTGCACCAGGCTGGGGATGGCCAACACCAGCAGCTCACCCATGCCCACGGCGGTGCCGAAGAACTCCATGAAGTCCTCTAGGGAGTGACTTCTCGGACGCCAATGGTGCTCTCTTGTTTTTTTGAGGCGCGAGGTACCGTGTTTTGTTGTGCGTTTCTTGTTGCTCTGTTTTTTGTTTTTATCTGTCTTGCTTTCTTTCTTTTTTGGGGGGGGGAGAGCGGGGGGCGCCAAAAGGGACGAAAGGAAACCCACTTTTTCTTCAGGACCCTTTTTTGGCACTGACCCATTTGGGCATGATGTCTACTTGGTAGTGCCGCGCAAAAAAGCAGCGATGTGTATTTGCGCGGGTCGCACCAGTGGTTGGGTGCTGGCAACATGGCATGCAATCTGGAAGAACCATTGGCATGGCTAGGCAAAAACAACCCGGCGGACCGAGAGCCGCGCTCGCGTTTTGCCGCTAAAAGACTTGCGTTTCATTCCCTGCATTCTCCTTTTTCACGTCTTTGCGATTGCTACTACAGTTTGCTGCTCCACATCTCACTGGCGCAAGACATAGTGCCACTGCCACGACTTTACATACAAGAGGAGACGCGGCTGCACGCAGGCAGCGAAATCGGGACATATGCTTTGCAGCTTGACCAGGAAAAGTCTATCGCGCCAGTGTGGCAGACAACCTGTTCGCGTCCGCGAAGAACATCTTTGGTCAGGCGTGCTATAGCGAAGCAGTCGAGCGGGCGCGCGTACCATGGTCAGGCGTGCGTGCAGTGTTACAGCGAAGCAGTCGAGCGGGTGCGCTTACCATGGTCAGGCGTGCGCGCAGTGCTATTTCGCAGCAGTCGAGCGGGTGCGCTTACTCTTGTCAGGCGTGCGCGCAGCGTTAGAACGCAGCAGTCGGGCGGGTGCGCTTACCATTGTCAGGCGTGCGCGTACGCAGCAGTCGGGCGGGTGTGCTTACCATGGTCAGGCGTGCGCGCAGTGTTGTAACGAAGCGCTTACCATGGTCAGGCGTGCTACAACTAAGCAGTCGAGCGGGTGCGGTTACCATGGTCAGGCCTTTCAGAGTTGTATCGCAGCAGTCGGGCGGGTGTCCTTACCATGGTCAGGCGTGCACGCAGTGCTATAACGAAGCAGTCGGGCGGGTGCGCTTACCATGGTCAGGCGTGCGCGCAGTGTTGTGACGAAGCACTTACCATGGTCAGGCGTGCTATATCGAAGCAGTCGAGCGGGTGCGGTTATCATGGTCAGGCGTGCGCGCAGTGCCAGGGCGACGCAGTGGTGTGGGCGTGCTATGCAGGGTTGCAGGGAAAAAGTGCACGCCGTTGAGCGCGGTTTCTGGTCCGCTAGCAAAAACAACACCCGAGTTTTGCAGAACTTCTCCAGGTCTTAGCACAAAGGCACTTGACATGCCAAACTCACCGGAAAGGCAATGGAAACCTGCAGAATGCGGCAGCCATGAATACCCACCTTTATGGCCTTGTAGCGAACGAAGTAGAACCTGCCACACCCCGGACTTTCGCTTCCACTTTCACAAACTAGGAGGTCGATTCAGATTTGGGCGTTGCTCAGCTTGCTAAGCAGATCCGATCCTCTGAGACCCTGTCCTCCAGGTCCTCCCCACCTGCCAAGGACTGCAGGCCCAGCTCGGATGCCAACTCCTCGTCGGGTTTCAGGCGATTAACACGGAGTGGGTGGTTGGGTGGTTGGGTGGTTGGGTGGTTGGGTGGTTGGGTGGTTGGGTGGTTGGGTGGTTGGGTGGTTGGGTGGTTGGGGGCTGGTTGGGTGGGGGGGATTGGGGGGTTTCGGGGGTTTGGGGGTTTGCGAGTTTGGGGGTTGGGGGGTTTGGGGGTTTGGGGGTTTGGGGGTTTGGGGGTTTGGGGGTTTGGGGGTTTGGGGGGTTGGGGGTTGGGAGGTTTGGGTGGTTGGGAGGTTTGGGTGTTTGCTGGCTTGAGGGGATTGGTCCTAACCAAAGTAGACTTTCCACTATTTGGGAGAGCTTCCTAAACATTTGGACCAGTTTGGGCGGTCGGGGGCCTCCTGGCCGGTGTTCCCTCTTACCACAAAGCAGCAAAACGGCGACTCAGCCAAGGTTCGACTGGATTTGATTTTTAAGGAAAAAACTGCATGTCTCCCTCCCACCAGCCCCTCTTCCCTCCAAACCCACCCCCAAATTCAAAAAAGGGTCCCAACTCCAAGTGACTGCCCTTTCGTCCCCCTTTGAAACAACCCCGAAACAAGCCTCCCCGTCCCCCAAAAAAAGGAACCACGCTCAATCATCCACATTTGGGGGGGGGTGTCCTGTTTTTCTGTACCCGTTTGCTGTTGTTGCTCACAGGGAAAATAAAGAAAAAAAAAACCATCCACATTGTGGGGAGTTCCATTTCCCATGAAAGGACAAAACCCTTTCTTCCTCTTCCCCAAAACAACAGTAGACCAGCCATACATTCTACGGCCTCCGGTGGCCTCCACCAAAAAAGCAAGCACCAAATCACCCGGAAAGAAGAAAAAAGGTAAGTCGAACACACAATAGTCTTGGTATTGGCTTTTCTGGATGGAGCAACCACATTGCCGACAGCAAGTAACGCGCGCGCGCGTGTTCCGGCGGCGTCCCAACGGTGAGCCGTCCTCGGGGTCCGTGAGCCGCAGGCTGGTGGTGGAGCTATGCTTCAGCACCTCCGGCAGAAGCCACCGCTCCACCGCCGCCAAGTGCCGAGCAGCGGCACGGAGGTGCTCCTCGCAAAGAAAACATGCGTGTCAAAAACCGCAGTTTCGGACCCCGACGCGGCTTCCTCTTGGTCCCCCCCAAGGTCCCCTGTTGTGAGACAGACCCACATCCAGACGGAACCCTGACAATGATCTTACGTCTTGGTAGTTTGGAGTGGTGGCTTGTGGATTTGAACCCCTGGTTGCTGCCTAGAGGGGCAGCAGCCTTTCCCTGCAAAGCACCAATCCAAACCAACAGAGGCAGACGTGTGTGCGTGTTGTGGCTGGGCTTACTTTGCGGATCAAGAAACACCGCCGGCTGGTCTTGGAATAACAAAAAGTAATGTCCGAACCCGACAAGAAGAGGTCTGAAGATGTTGGTCCTATCCCGACATGGGGGTTGGTCAAAAGGTCCATGACATGGGACCAGTAGGGAAATCACCAAAACGATGACTTCACCACTAAATATGAAAAATGGCCCGTAGTCATTTCGGGGCCAGGAATACTGATCAACCCCGAAATAGTCTATGATGGGAAGAGAGTAACGACTTGCACGATTTCGCGTGGTTCGCATGAAGAGGTTTAAGAGGGGAAAGTGGACCCCGTTTGGTGGACTTGCCTCAATTCTCTCCATGACCCCAGGCAAGAATGGTTGGTCATTACCCAAAATCATGGCCCATTTCTTAAGGGTCGGAAAGAGACTCCACGTCTATGAAGGGAGAAGGAGCCCGCGCCAAGTGTCGAGCTTGTGATCACCACATGGGCCTCCGAGGAAAATTCCCTTCCAAAGGGCTCCGACAAAGCCACGCGCAAAAACACACACACGGTGGAAGTCCTTTGGATTCGTGTATGGGAATAAAAGGAAGAAGAAGAAAGGAGAAATGAAAAAAAAGCATTCAACAACCATTTTGGGAAGTTGATCAATGTTGATTGGAAACTGGGATTCCCGACTCCAATTCCCAGCCAAGCGGAAAGGCTCATATCATAACCCTCTCTCGGACACGTGGAATTCCGAGGTCTTCTAAAATGGATCCAGGTGAGGTCTGATCGAAACTTTCTGACCCTGTCTAACATTCAGCTTCCCCCTACTTGGCGGTTTGGATTGATGGTTCGGGCAAACTGGGTGTCACGCCCCGATACACCACCAACCCGTTGAAGCATGGAAGAAGGCTTAGGTTTAGACAGGCCCCACAAATCCGCAGCTGGAGGGGGGGGAGGGTAAGAAACCTCAGGTGCTGCTTAAATGTGTGTGTGTGTGTCTAAAATGGGTGGCGTCCCTTTGGTTGCCCCCTGAACCAACCGCACAAAAAAAGGGGTGCCAGCTTAAACCAAAAAGTCGGGGCAGTTCAGTACACTCCTGCAGCTCCGACTGAAAAGTAGCAAGTTTCTGCGTGCAAAAGTCGCGCTGAGAGAGTACCAGCTCGGACTGCTCTCCTGGGGAGCGGAGTGGTCGTTGGCGGCCACGGCTTCCCGCATCAAGCGCACGCACTTGTCCCGGGCCCCGCGCAGGGCGTGCGCGGTGCGCTTCTTCTTGCTGATCAGCTTGTAGAGCCCAACATATGTCAGGCAGCAGTCCTGGCTTCAGGTTCTCAAAAGAACAACAGGTTCTTGGCTGGGGTGAAAAGAGTCTGTCCCTTTGCAGCCATGGTATAAGTTGTAACATACGGAGTATTTCTGGGGTTTCAGAACCGGTGCGGACCTTGCAGATCGCAAAAGGGGGGGTGTAACTCCCCCAAAAGCGAAGGTTGGTCTGAAACAATGGGTAACAAATTACTTTGGGCCCAGCCAAATCGTCAGGAGGAATTGCTAAGTTGTTGGCCTTGCCCCCAATTCAGCCCTAGTTGGTCTCCCATTGCGGGTCAGAGGTCAGACGGCTGTGTCTATCTTTGCGATGGTACCCCTTCTTTGTGGTTGAAAAGGAAAACAAACGGAAAACCAATGCTGTTGTGTGGGTCCAACCATAAAAGAGACGCCCAGGCCACACCGTGTTCCAACAAAAACCAAGCTCTGACCCAGAAAGTCGGACCCTGATCATCTCCCCAATAGTGGGGGTTTATGACTTGGGGAGGCCGTACATTCAGCGAACAAAATTGGTCCATGTCAGCTAGGTCCGACTTTCTGGTCAAAAATGTGTACCCAAAATGGCTTGCCCTGGTAAATGGAACCCATGACTCAAACAGGCGGTCCAATTCCTGGTGGTTTTATTTTGACCCACACCCAAATGTCGTAGCCAAGAGTCCGTGGAGCAGCAGGGCTCAGACCTCCTCGCGCGAGAGCCGCAAGGCGCACGGCACCAACTGCTCAAGTCGGCGCAGCGCCGCACGCCGAACCATTGCAAGATGGGCATGATGGAGTGAATTCGTTGGACCCGAGATGTACATCAAAATTCGATGGGGGAGTTTGAATCTCCACGGTTCATGTGTCTTAACGTTCCAAGCAAGGTATGTGCGGATGTGCCAGCGGCGTCCTCCTCTTTGGGCATGAAGTCTAGGGGTGGGAGACTGCCGCTTACGCTGGTGACACCCCCACAGGTGTTGTATTGCCCTCTTGCAGTGTGTCAAGTTGACTCGCAAGAAATGGATCCGACTTCTTGCGTGTAACCTCTGACCAGAACACTTTTTGCATGAACCCCTGGTAGATTTGTGTTGCAGCTGACTGGTATTCCTTTGGCTCCTGCCGAAACCATCGAGCATCGCAACTCGCTTTCGCTGCATGTCGGGTGCTCCTTTGCCCACCATCCATGTGGGTGCGTTTCGCCTCTTTCAGGAAAACGGTCGAGCAGTATCTCTGAGAACCGGGAAGGAACATTCAAGGGTCCAAATTGCCGTTAAAAAACTGGATGTCGCAACAGCATTTCTGCAAAAGCAGCCGTTTCAAGTTGAAGATGCAACCACTTTCTTCGGGGCCCGGCCAGCAAATCGTCTCGAAGCTTTTTCGCAGGGCTCACTTGTAACGCAGGACTGTGCCCAACGTGGGGGAGTCCAGAGACTTCACTTGATGCCAGTAGCCCGCAGGAATAAACAGGAAGAGCGTCCAGTTGAAACTTCGGCAGGAACTTATGGACGAAATGTGAGACAGCACGAAATGAAACCATGGGTGAACCATTGCTTGTCGCCCATACATTGGCGCCCATACATATACACAAAACAAAAACAACTCTCTTTCAATCCAGGATGCAATCTCCCGGCCGTAGCGTGATGTTCCAGTGGGGCACAGTCACGGCCTGCAAGCAGAGTGCTGGGCATGAATTCCTGGTTTGGGGACCCTTCAGTGGACATCATTTAGGTACTGTTTTATGTCACCAACCACTGGTGCGTTCGCATCTGAATTCAACGTTGCCTATGAAAGCCAAGCTCAAGGGAATCAATCCTCTTTCAAAGGGAAAGCTACCTTGCTGAGCTTTCGAGGAGCCTACTCCAAGACATGGTTGCTGCAAGCTGCTGTTCTTGATGAGTCACTAGCACCTCGACCATATGCTTGGCGATCGAGCGCATTGCAATCTGATCTTGTAAGAAACTTCCAAAACCTGGCTAAACCTGAGTCCAACGAAACTCTGCGCAGCAGCTGCAGAAAATGAATGAACCGGCTATCCCTCCAAGCAAGCATACCCATCATCCACCCCGCCATCGAACCCGCAAAATCAAACAGCGAAGGCTTCTCAGTTTTCACGTCCAGAAGAAAAAAACAATCGTGCGAACTGCCAAAGCCTCAGTCGAATCAGCCATTCACAAAAGAAGCACCCAACACAGCAATGCATCACGCACCGTTCTTACACAATTGTTGGGGCCAACAGCATCCAGGAGCATCGCAAATATCCCTCCCCTCCTAAGCAACCCTGGCTCGTATTGGTCATTACAGGCCAAGACAATAAGCACAAACGGTTCCTGAAACCTATCACACCCCAGCTTGACTGTCCTGAATCTCCGTCGTGATCCAAGATCGCCTGGCGCATGCTCACACCAGTTCACACGAGCCCATAGGCAGCGGCCTGTCTTCCACGAAGGATCTCATGTAGCTGGAAAAGCGGGGATGCACCAACAAAACCTCGGCTCTTGAAGAGCGCAACGCAAAAATGCGAGAGTCGGAACTGAACGTCAATCTTCACTTGGCATCCTGCCGAATGCACAGGCCTCAACATGTATGGGTCCCGTATTTTGGGAAACCCCTTTGGAGTTGACTTGGGTCCGTCTTTTTTAAGGACCTCGAAAGGAAAACCACAACAACCACAAAAAATCGGCGGGGGGGGGGGGGGGTCCAACCTTAAAAAAAGGCGCCTCACATTTTAAGAAGGGAGCCCACCGCCAGCTTCGAGGCTCAATGCCCGCATTCGAGCGCTGCCCGGACCAAGTGGCCTGCTTCCGCCCGGCGCACATCTGCAAGCAACCAGGGTGCTGGTCGAAGTGGAAGTTGGTCACCGAGTGCTGGTCCTGGTTGGTCATGAACGGGTCCCAAACACCACCCAAGAAAAAGAAGAAAAAAATGGGTTTTCTGGAAGAAAAACCGACCCAAGCTGGGGTCGCATTGGCCTTTCTCGGGTTTGATTCCCCACCATCTTCACCCGTCGGTCTCTTTAGAGACCACCGAGTCGTTTTTCTCGGAGGCTTGGCCCCTTTTTGGAAGAGCAGGATCCCTGAAGAGAATGGGAGCGTATGGATAGATTTGCTCATGCCATGCGCAAATCTAGGCGCTAGATAGATGTATACCCCAAACATTACCCCAAAACTGGGGGCCAAGGGTGTGTTGAGCGGCGAGTAGGAGGGCTCGAAGAACACATCTGATCCTCGCCACTCGCTGGCGGAAAAAGCGGTGATAGGCGCCCAAAGCCACTTGTTGGTCCAGGAAGGTTTGTGTAGGTGTGTGTGTGTCTCAGAATGGGTGTCTCGTCTTTTTGAGGGCACCCTTTTGTTGTGGGTTTAAAAGGAAACCACCAGGAAACCGCTATTTTGGGGGGCTACCCAAAAAAATAAGACACGCCCAAAATCGGGGGGCACCAAACAATAGGACACACCCAAATCAGGGATCCCGAATAGAAATGCTACTTTTGGTCCCTTGGTGTTCCTTTACGACCCGAAAACGAGCAACGCAAAAGGAGAAACCGAAAAGGAAACCACAGCTTCGCGGACTCTGGACGTTTCCGCTGTTTCCCATGTACAGACAAAATTATACACTTGGTTTCCCGGCATGGGAAATTTGGCAAGTCCCTGTTTTTGTGGACCAATTCTCCTGAGTATGAGTCAAAATAGGAGACGCCCTCTTTTTGGGCTTGGCTCTCCAGTTGGCTTCCCATAAACCAACTTTGGTAGGGGCAGCTCTCAAAACCCAAGCCACGTCTTCACATCCAAGGCTCGGAGCAATACGCCGAGAAGTCCGCGAAGAGCCCAGGGTTCAGACCCATCTCTTCGAGCACCTCCCGGCCTCAAGCCGATGGATTGGCTTTGATGTGTGTGGGGGTGAAACCATGCCAACAAATACGGCGTAATACATCTGTGTAAGCCGGGTATAATAATAGTATGAGGTATAAAAAGGATTACTTGTTGATGCTTCTTTGTTTCTCTTTTTTTCTGGGGATGCATAAGGGGTACTGACAGGCCATATGGGGCACGCAAGACTTGGGCACCCGGCGCTGACGTTCCGGAAAGCCTTGGCGCAAGTACTTCACCGGAACCTCACCCGCGCTGAACCTCAGCGCCGCCGCCCAATTTTTGGCGCTCAAACCGGGCTAGAGGGCCAACAAGGCTCCCCCCGATTTGGAACCCAAATAAGACCAATCATGTTCAGCGGAATCGCCTTTCTCGCAGCCCCCTTTCTTCGGGTTCCGTGTCAACCTGCGAAGGAGCAAGGCTCATGCTGGGACTTCAAAATGCGTCCAGGTGGCTGGACATCACTGGGCCTCTCGCACATGTGCGCCACCGCATCCTCGAAAGACTCCATGCGGTGCACCTCGGCTCTTATCGCAAGTTGGACTAGTCATAGCTACAGAGAAACGATTGACCCAAACTAAGAACAAAGATTCTCACATTTCCTTGACAAATTAAGAACAAAGATTAAGATTCTCACAAATTAAGAACAAGATTCTCTCAATGTCATGGTCCTTGACAAGAAACTACAATCAAGCAACTTGACCCTCTGGACATGGCACACCATGCCATGGGAGCGGAACATCCAGTCAGACAAAACCTGTCGCTTCTACGCACACAGCAATGGTGGATCATCCGAGGTCTGTCAAACAAAAATAGGCCTTGCAAAAAGAAACACTGGGCGAAAAAGACAATGAAACCAACCTTAAGAACAAGAATGGGGAACCCGAGAATTACAAAAGTATACATAAGTTGACAAAAATATGTATACCAAGTGTGAGATGCAAATAGTGCTTCTTCTGTTTCATTCAAAAACAATCAACAACCAAAAGTATTAACACATATATGTTTCTGTTTCATTCAAAAGAAAAACAATATATATATATGTGTTTGAGCCTCCCCTCCATCCAAGGCCGGCGCATGGGCCGGCCGCGCATCCGCCCCGTCCGCGAAACGGAGCCCGTCCCCGTGCTGCACGACCTGCCAGTTACTCATGGAATCCGAGGGGGTGGTCCAAGGGAGGGAGGTCCCTAAGGCTCCTTCAAAAAACTCAAGGAAATCTGGAAACTTTAAGGAACCCTAAGGAACGCCAGGGCTCTGAACTACCTAACTACCCACCCCCCTTTGTACCCCTTAGGCTTTGAACCTCAGAAATTCCACAATCACTGAGGGAGGCCCGTGTGGCTTGCTTGCAGACGCTAAACAAGGTCCGACGGTTTGACCGATTTTTGGCTTCCTGTCGAAACTAAAACAGGTCCGCCGGTTCTTTGGCAGAGCTCCGCAGCCTTCTTCCAGGCGGCACAGCTCAGGTTCAATAGAGCCAATGAGAGAAACCGCCAGGAAATTCTGCGGGAGTTCGCCAAATGCTTGGGGTTTGGTTGACTTCTAGGACTTCCTGGAGTCTTTGAGCCGAAACCTGGCTATAGTTCCCCCTTGTATCACCCCTAAAGGAAGCTCACCTTGGGACCAAAAGGCGATGTCTAAATCCACCCAAAGGGGGATGGGTTGTCTTGTTGCCTTTAAGGGGAAACCAAAGGGAAGCCACTTGTTTGGGGGGGTCCCCTACCCATTTTGGGAGCCCTGAGGAACAAATTCAACAGCACCGGGCAGAGCGGACCTCCCTGCCAATGTCGTAGGAGGAGAACACGCCGCTGGGGGAGTACATCATCAAGGCGGGATGCTCCGGGCATGGATACCTGTCAGGTTCCAAAATCAAGCCTTGCTCCCCTACAAGTTTCCATGGACCCCAACAAAGGGGTCCCCCAAAAGGAAATT